TGTAGCTCTGTGGCTCTGTGGCTCTGTGGCTCTTTGACTCTGTGACTCTGTGGCTCTTTGACTCTGTGGCTCTGTGGTTCTGTGGCTCTTTGACTCTGTGGCTCTGTGACTCTTTGACTCTGTGACTCTGTGGCTCTTTGACTCTGTGGCTCTGTGGCTCTGTGACTCTGTGGCTCTGTGGCTCTTTGACTCTGTGGCTCTTTGACTCTGTGGTTCTGTGGCTCTGTGATTCTGTGGCTCTGTGGCCCTGTGGCTCTTTGACTCTGTGGCTCTGTGGCTCTGTGACTCTGTGGCTCTGTGGCTCTGTGACTCTGTGACTCTGTGGCTCTGTGACTCTGTGGCTCTGTGGCTCTGGTTGGTGTTAAAGTGTGAAGTACCTGAAGGGGTGTCCTTCATCTGATTTCTGCAGAGCCTGGATCACAGCTTTATAAACTCTGGAACAGACAGGTGAAGACAGGTGAGGACAGGTGAGGACAGGTGAGGACAGGAGGGGACAGGTGCAGACAGGTGAGGACAGGTGAGGACAGGTGAGGACAGGAGGGGACAGGAGGGGACAGGTGCAGACAGGTGGGGACAGGTGAGGACAGGTGAGGACAGGTGAGGACAGGTGAGGACAGGAGGGGACAGGAGGGGACAGGTGAGAGACAGGTGAGGACAGGTGAGGACAGGTGAGGACAGGAGGGGACAGGAGGGACAGGTGAGGACAGGTGAGGACAGGAGGGGACAGGTGGGGACAGGAGGGGACAGGTGCAGACAGGTGAGGACAGGTGAGGACAGGTGAGGACAGGTGAGGACAGGAGGGACAGGAGGGGACAGGAGGGGGACAGGAGGGACAGGAGGGAGGTCAGGTGAGACAGGTGAGGACAGGTGAGGACAGGTGAGGACAGGTGAGGACAGGAGGGGACAGGTGAGGACAGGTGAGGACAGGTGAGGACAGGAGGGACAGGTGAGGACAGGTGAGGACAGGAGGGGACAGGTGCAGACAGGTGAGGACAGGTGAGGACAGGTGCAGACAGGTGGGGACAGGTTGGGCTCCAGTCAAATGAGGCTCAGTGAGGCTTGCGGTTTACCTGAAGGTGCAGCCGCAGTTTATTTTATATTTTAAGGAACAGACTCGATACTCGATACTCAATACTCGATACTCGATACCGATTCTGACTGGGTGGAGATGGTGAGGGGGCGGGGCTTACCTGAAGGTGATGGTGCAGCACAGACAGGTGAGCAGCAGGTACGACACCACGCTGATGACGGACAGCGTCGCCATGGAGACCAGCACCGTCAGCGACAAGAGGAAGGCGGCGGCCGACTTCTTAGGCTCCTCCCACTGCACCAGACGCAGCGCTGCCACGGCAACAACAAACAAACATGTAAACAACACAGAGCGCCCCCTGCAGCGGCACCGAGACACAACAAACACCCACACTCCAGAGTCCTGGTTTAGACCTGGTTTAGTTCTGGTTTAGTTCTGGTTTAGTCCTGGTTTAGTCCTGGTTTAGACCTGCTCTAGTCCTGGTTTAGACCTGGTTTAGTCCTGGTTTAGTCCTGGTTTAGTCCTGGTTTAGTCCTGGTTTAGACCTGGTTTAGTCCTGGTTTAGACCTGGTTTAGACCTGGTGTAGACCTGGTTTAGTCCTGGTTTAGTTCTGGTTTAGTCCTGGTTTAGTCCTGGTTTAGTTCTGGTTTAGTTCTGGTTTAGTTCTGGTTTAGTCCTGGTTTAGTCCTGGTTTAGACCTGGTGTAGACCTGGTTTAGTTCTGGTTTAGTTCTGGTTTAATCCTGGTTTAGTCCTGGTTTAGACCTGGTGTAGACCTGGTTTAGTCCTGGTTTAGTTCTGGTTTAGTCCACACTCTGAGGTGGAGCTGTGGTAGAAGCAATAACAGTCATATTATTGATGTATTTTTCGCAGTATTATTTGTAGTATTAGTCGTAGTATTATTTGCAGTATTAGCTGTAGTATTAGTTGTAGTATTAGTTGCAGTACTTTTTTGCAGTATTAGTTGTAGTATTATTCGTAGTATTATTCGCAGTATTAGTTGAAGTATTTTTCGCAGTATTATTCGTAGTATTAGTTGAAGTATCAGGAGGATTCTGGGGGATTATTATCGTCACATGACGTCGGCTCAGAGTTTCACTTTTTAACATCACAAATGTTTCTGTGAGACACAAAGTCCTGGTTTAGTCCTGGTTAAATCCTGGTTTAGTCCTGGTTAAGTCCTGGTTTAGTCCTGGTTTAGTCCTGGTTGAGTTCTGGTCCAGTACCTGGTCTGGCGTAGTCCTGGACTGAGGAGAACTCTGTGGAGGAGTCCGGAAGGCCACTGCTGCTGGAGTCTGCCATAATCCTGGTTTAGTCCTGGTTTAGACCTGGTTTAGTCCTGGTTTAGTCTTGGTTGTAACTGTTGCGTGTGGAGTCTGGTCTCTCTGGGGTCCTGGTCTGGTCCTGGTCTGGTCGTGGTCTTTGTCCTGGATTCCTGAGCTCTGATCCGGATCAGGAGCCGGGACTGGG